CAATTACTGCTCCACCCTGGCATCTAGCCAGGGTGTAGCATTCCCCCCCCCCCCCCCAATGCAAAATAATGAAGAAGCACAGGAATAGATTGTACCACCTTAATTCCGCCTCATGAATATCAGATTGACCATGTAGCCACACCTCAATATCCAAAATAATGACATATAGACAAACCTCCACCATAGATGAAGCAAATAGTCTCACACACACCCCCTAGAATAACGATGTAAGCCTACCCCTGAACAACTAAAAATAACTATAAACAATGATAATGAAGTCGAACCCACCGTGTGCACTCTGTTGAAGAAGCGCGGCTTGCGTGGCCGATACTTGTCCTGCCACAGGTACGACGTGCTGGCTAATGGCACCTCGACGCTAAACGTTGCCTCGTCACCGGCCATGCCCTTCCTCGCCTCACGCTCAAACGCTGCATCCTCAGCAGACTACGAAAAGAACACGCGTACACACGTTCTTATGAAATATTACACGTCATTAGTAAGAAGGCGAAACAAAAAGATATGTGTGTGTCTGCCGATCTATTAAAATAAAAGTTAGAGTAGGTAGATTGGTGAAAACCCTTTCGTGTGAAAACCTGGGATCGCTAAACTGCTAATAAGTAAGCAAATTTCTTTGTGCGATCTATGTAATTTGGTACGATATAAAATAAACAAGCCCATTCCTTTTATAGCAGTGGGACTGAGAACCAGTCGAACATTCACCGTGAGAAAAAAAGCATGATGAAATACGTGCATTAGATAACCAGGGGTGGACGGGGTCAATTAGAGTTTTCAGAGAAAAAAATCAATAAATATGCTATGCCAGAAACCTCTAGAAGCAGTTGGAATTCTAGAAACACATGAATGGTTGTTTTGCGCGAGTTTATCTGCAGAAATCAGTGACATGTCAAGCAATTACAGCAGCCAGCGTCTGTGACGCATACACTGCTATTATAGATAGTGGAATGAAGTAACGCGATCATTCACAGACCCAGACATCCATACAGCCACACTTGCTATTGTTAGTGTCAGCCAACCGTTTCATTGCTCAGAACGCAATACCTGTGTGTAGACAGCTGTGCAGCCACACACAACTTAACAAATTGTGCCGACCAAATCTAATTTTCTCGGGATAACTCTATGAATAGATTTCTGCTCAAATATTAACAATGGCAAAAAACCACACTAAAAGTATCAACAACCACTATAAATAATTACATGAACCCAAGCTGCAGCACAATACTGGTTAACATTGCTCTGATAAGGCATGGCTCCCCTATTCCTATGGATATTCTTATTAAGGACACTGGATATAGACAATGTAAAAATGAATTGCTAGAGGACAATTTCTCGGGTTAACGACCGGAATACTGGCGATATAGTAAGAGTATAAGAGTCTAGAAATACTGTGTCAGGTTTATGGACTATTTCGACTGTTCGATATCCCTATACCTCACATCATCTCTGCATGTTATTGTTACAACGTTAATTGAATCCAATGTAGCAATTGAAATACTAAACTATTTAACTGTAGATGTTAGAAGTTGTATACCACCACCTGACCCTGCTCTACCTACCACGACCTGACCCTGCTCTACCTACCACGACCTGACCCTGCTCTACCTACCACGACCTGACCTGCACCCTGCTCTACTGCCTACCAGACGAGCCCGGTAGCGCTGGCTGCTAAGCCTAGACAGACCTGACCTGCTCCTAGCCTACCAGCGGACCGTGACCGCTAGGCTCTCCCTACCAAACGACCTTGACCCTAGCTCTGACCCACCCACGACCTGACGCCTGCGGCTCTCAAGCCTAGCCGGATATCCACCTCGTGACCCTGGGGGCTCAGAAGACAGGGGGGCGCGGAACGGCTGGATTGG